TTATAAATACACAATAAATTCTAAGTATAGGATTGAGAACAATAACATCCAATAAAGGATATTGACTACACTGGATTTATGCTTTATTATTTAGAGTCAAAACAAATAAATTTAGAAGGATTATACTTTGARAACTGAATGATAAAGGTTTTTAAAAAAATTATCTCACATCAACATCTCTGATGTCCAATAGTTTTGCATCCAGTTTATGTCCAACTTGTTTAATTTGTTCAGTTTGTGCTGCCAATACATTGTATGCCTGAAAAAAAGTCAAGTTCCAAATGCTAGTAATTAAAACAGTCAATTATTAAAGTACCAAAGTTGAAAATTTCTTACTGGCTCATAGCACCAATCTTTCAGTAACTCAAGATTTCCATTAAGAAAAGCCTGTTGAATGTAAGAATCATGAAAATAAATTCTTTTAGTATCATGTTTTCAATTAAGGGCATATTGAACCTGATAGAATCTCCTCGCAGCTGTGTTTAGTTTTGGTCGCGCGTCACGCAACCTCGTGTGGAGAAGGTTGTGTGACGCGTGACCGAAACGAAACACGGCTGCGGGGATACTAAATCTGACACAAATTAACTAATTTTTTTCTCTTTTCTTTTCCTCACTTTCCTTTTTTTTTTTGTTCACAATAGTACTTTGAAAACACCTCACACCTTTCCTTTTGATTATATTAACCTATTTGTCCCCTAATTTGAATCTAAACTTCTACTTTATYATGTGTTATAATCATTGATATTACCTCCAGAACTGAAGGGATAATTTCAAATTCACATTCTTGTAAAAATTTGTCTTTGTTGAACTGAGGGTCTATTTTCGTGATTTCTGATAATGTTTTTGCCATATCTGACTGTGAAAAAACATCACCTAAAAAGGCAGGATGACAATACCTTGGATTAATAATTTGAGGGTTTTAAGGATAGGAAATATGATTACTTACTGAAAATATCACCAACTTTGTCAGTTACAACTCTTGTTGCTCTWACAAATAGATTATCACTTTCATCATATTTCATTTTGAGTGAGAAAAGACCTGGAAAAAAATGATTAGTAATTWAAGACTTAGTATTAATACACAGCAGTGCTACACAGATGAACAAGATTTCAATTTCACCAATTCGTGTTTTTCTATTCATTTATATTTTTTTTTGGATGCAAATTTAGATATTTCCATCATATTGCATCTTGACAACCTTCACTTTAGCAATAAATAAATGCATACATGTACAGCATATTCAATATGATTTTAACTAGCTTGTTACCATTGACRACGGGGTTGTTATCCTTGAATTCCTGCCATTGTTGATACCATTTGGAATCTTTGTGTAAAACCATCCCTGTTGTATCCCTTCAAATAGAAAAATATATAAGTTTGTTTGGATAAAAATGAATTGTATTTATTTATAGTAAAATGACAGCAAGAGCTGGTGAAGCACTATTGGAGCCTTCTTATCTGTGGGCACTCCTYGCTGCTCTGATGGAGTTTGGGTCTTCTTTCCCTATAGCAACTAGAAGCATATGACTATAGGCAGGCTAATCATTACATAATATTGTTATCTTCACACTGGAAATTGCAAAGAGGGTGGCAATAGACAACATACAAAATTAAGAAAAGCACCAACAATATAGCAAATCAAATTCAATATGGAATATTTCAGGTCCAGGCTCAATGCACCAAATCATACCACAGGAAATCCAAACCAAGCAGCACAGACACTCCATTATATGGTACAAACAACATTTAAAGAGTTTTTATTAACACATACTCATCTGCTTCTATTCTTCTTTCTTCTKTTTTAATGCCTTCATTTTGACTTGGTTGTGTTCTCCGCCGTAGTTCAGCTGGTGTYTGATATGGTCTTGATTGTTTCAACTCTTCATCTAATACCTCTTCCTTTACAACTTTGAAGCCCTTAATAATATCATTGGAAAATGAAAAAATAGGGGTCATCCTATATATTAACTATTTTCTGGCATCTGAAACAACAGAATGTATTATCTAAAGTAACACAGCAACTCACAGTAGAAACTGTCTTGAAAGCTGTTGTCTTGCCCAGTTCCTCTCCTTGTTCCTTTACTTTTGATGCAGCTTCTTGTGCTGACTTACTAAGCTGTTAGATACAAATAAAAACATTGAATACAGTCAGGCAAGCTACACAGGTACACTAAATAATATAAAATATTACCTCTTCTGTTGCTTCCTTCCCTTTTTGATATGCTTCACTCTTTGTTAAATCTTCATATGCCTAGTGGAGAAACATTTCAATCAATCTATAGTCCATTCTTTCATCAAATCAAATTAATTAAAAATGGGCATAAATCGTACAATAAGGAAATTACATCCCTTCCCACCCCTCCCCCATCTCCTCCCAAAATTTTCCCTGTAGGGGGGGGGGGAGTGGGAACACAGATGTGCACAGATTAAAGCAAGGTGCAGTGTAACAAATTTACCAACCTGGGATACTTTAGTTGACATAGATCCAGATAAAGATTTTGCTGAAGAAGAGACCTTTGCACTGGCATCAGACATCTTTTCCTATTTCAATAATAATAATTTTTATTTGAAAGGAGAAAGGCAATGACAAAAAAAATGCACAATTTAGTATGTTTTTGTGATGTTCTTATTTAGAAAAATATTGTAACATTTGTAAATTATCAAAAAAATTATGTGTGTAGCTCCACCTTGTCTTTTGAGGTTTCCACAAAGAAATGATCAGAAAAATTTGACAGAGTTTCCCTTTTTTSCGGCATAACAACAGACCCTTGTCTTTACCTTCACTTGACCAAAAACCTGGAACCTTGATTTTGCTGTTTTTAAAGTATCTGATGATTCGAATTTTTCTGTTTGTTCTTTGAACTTCTTAATATTATCCTAGAAAAAACAGAAATTTTAGTTAGATAATAACTTTTATCTCYTTTCTCAGTATATTCTTTTAACTGTTTCACTATATGAAATTAATGTAAAATTCAAATTTTATATATTGACATTAAAATCTTATCTTGTCAAGAAAATTTGTATGAGATTGCAACACCAAAGGAGCTGCCAAGACTTATGCCAAAAGTTTTCATCATTTTTCAAGTCAAAACATTTGTCTCAACACATTTCRTTATCTCACTCAAGTGAATTCAGTTGCCTTACTATACCATACCTGCATTTCTTTGTTTCGTTCCAGTCCTTCTCTAATATTCTGTATAAACCGTCCAATAAGACCAGGTTGTTCATCGGGTCGCTTGTAAGCATACTGTCTRATCTAATGCCAATGAAAGCAACAATTGAACTTTTCAAATTCATTTCTTTTGCAGTTCTTTTGCTCTCATACAATTACAATGTCAAATTTGGAAAAAAATAAGAAATACAATTTTTGTCCTCAACCTCAAACAAATGGCAAATGTTGGGTCAATGAATGTGAATCTGAGCACCAACATCTCGATTGCTCGATTGAGTGGTGGAGTTATTTGATTGGGCATCAAGCATGTTGGAAGGTTTTGGAATATTACTTAGAATTACTTGGATGCCCAATATTGACTGATGGTATTTGGTGATCATATCATTTCTAAATTGCCCAGACTTTAAACGAATTATAATAATTTTCCTTGTGGTACTAAGTACCAAGAGAGAGGACTGCTCTCTCCCTAGACCACAGCTTCATAACCATGTAATACCTTTACCCTTATTAAACTCCGTTATTTATAACTGATAATAATCGACTGTACCTGTTGATTTTCAAAACGCGTATAGCTTGTCCATATTCGTCCACAATGTCCACCACTTCCACGTGCTGCACCAAAATGACAGCCAGATAAACGACAACAATTTAAACAAGCGTATCTCGACATTGACGCCTAAAATTTAAAATACAACTGTAAGACACTTAATTTCATCACCTAACACCTTGATAAACATCAAAACCAAGCTCTATTGAGTTAATTTATCAGTAGAAATYGAGCATTTTTACAAAGTTTGACTTTTACTAACCTGCGCCATTTTGGATTATTGCGTAAGACAGCATCGCGGGCTCATTTCCCATACTTCTGTTCGGGTGATGTTTCAAAATGGCGGCAAGGTGAACTGTATTTGTTGTATGCTGTTTTTTCCTAAATTTTTAACCCTGAAATTGAAAAAGAGCATATTATTTTAACATGAAGATTGCAATAGAAGGCTGTGCTCATGGAGCGCTTGATAAAATCTACGAGACGTTGTCTTTTCTTCAAGAAAAAGAAGGAATCAAAGTTGATCTTCTGCTGTGCTGCGGAGACTTTCAAGCAGTTCGAAATCGACAAGATCTACAATGCATGGCTGTTCCTCCAAAATACCGYCATATTGAGTCTTTCTACAAGTATTATTCAGGAGAAAAAGTAGCACCAGTTTTAACTGTTTTTATTGGCGGGAACCATGAGGCAAGCAATCACCTGTGGGARCTACCCCACGGGGGCTGGGTTGCACCAAATATTTACTATCTAGGGTATAGTGGGGTTGTTAATTATGGTGGCTTTCGAATTGCTGGACTTTCTGGTATCTACAAGTCACATGACTATCACAAGGGGCATTTCGAATCACCACCTTATGACAATGGCACTATGCGAAGTGCTTAYCATATAAGGTCTTTTGATGTCTTTAAGCTAAAACTACTATCCAAGCCATTGGACATCRTCATGTCACATGACTGGCCACTTGGAGTGTATCACMATGGTGATCTAGATGAGCTTTTTAAGTTCAAAGAGTTCCTCAAAGAAGAAGTYGAGAGCAATACTCTTGGAAGCCCTCCAGCTARAGAAATACTGGACGTGTTACAACCAGCTTACTGGTTCTCTGCCCATTTGCATGTCAAATTCCCAGCATTAGTCCCACATTCATCAGAGAGTAATGAAGTTAACTACACAAAGTTTCTTGCTCTTGATAAGTGTCTGCCACGTCGTGATTTTTTACAGGTATTGGAYCTYGGACCTGCAAAAGGACCAGAGAAGCTTTGYTATGACCCTGAGTGGCTRGCYATCACAAAACTAACAGATTCATTGGTGAATATAAGTCATAATCGCACAGTTTTACCAATAACTGAGGATGAAATTGAAAGATACAAGCCAAATCAGGAAATGCTAAAAGAAATTCCTAAACTGTTCAACRRTGATCTCTCAATACCTTGTAATTTTGTCCAAACTGTRGAACCATTTAATCCTGAYCAGCCAAAGCAGAATTTCTATAAAACRTATCATTCTTTCAACCCTCAAACGCAACTGTTGTGTACCACGCTTGGTATTGGGAACTCTTTTTTCAATTTGGAATTTCAAAGTCAGACTGATGCTTGTAATCCTGATGAAATYGAGCTATGTGATGATGATGGTGATGCTGTTGATTCAGGTTTAGCTRCTAAGCAACACAATCCAGAAGAGATAGACATAAATATTAGTGATGATGATGATGATGATAATGAGAAAATTACCGAAGCTGAGGGCATTCAAGGGTTATGCAATCAAACTGAGAAACAAACTGAACTGCAATTGCTTTCTGATGGCACAGAAGCAAAACCAGACAATCATGATGATCAGATGCTGGAACCAAAGAAAAAGGCGTTCAAACTMTGTAGAAGAAATCAAGCTTTGTACACTAATGATGATGAAAATAATGATTAATGTTAGGCATTCAATGTGTATTTTAATTAATTTGGTAAAATTGTTATCGAGGTTGGTTTTACCACAACTCAAAAGTTTAAATTTTGTTCATTTTTTTTATTAATGACAAGAATATAGCTAATGACTGCAAATAAATCTTTCTATATTTTTCGGGGGTTCCAATTAGTCATCCTCATAATTTTGCTTAAAATCTCTAAGTTTATATTATACACACTTTTAATAAAATAGAGAKAGATGTAAATTTGTAGGATACTAGTTGTGTATTGTATGTTATAATTTGTTTTGTTAAATAAATAAAAAGAAGAGGAGAAAGAAACCTAACAAATCTACTGTAATATTTTTTTAACTGTTTTAAATCTTTAAAAAATCTGCACAGGCACAGTGGAATAACATAATGAAATTATTGACCAGATATCATCGCATTTACATGTAAAAAACAAACGAAATCAAACAGAGCTGTAACATTTTAAAAGAGACATAATTACCACAGAAAGACCAAACAATTTTTTCCCGAGTCAGCGGTTTTACAAAGAAATCCATGCGTAACATTCACGAAGCACGCTTTTAAAATGGCGGACGTTCTTGAGGTTGATGTCGATAAGGCAGAATTCTTTGATGATGAAGGCGAAGGTAGGCCAAAATTCCTGTCGTTAAATCTGAATCATGACGTTAACTTGGTCTTTTTCAAATCAGATGATGTTCAGAGGGTAAAACAGGGTGCAAAGAAGCGAAAAGGACGAGGTTTTACTGGTAAGTTATTCAAACTTTTNGAATCACAAAGGCAGTTACAGCTGAAATTTTAAGAGCCACCACATATAAGCTTATCGCAAAAATCACATATATCTTGGCAAGGCTCGATGGATCAAATCATTTCTTTATTCTGTATCAGTAAGGTTTTAATAAGGCCTCATTTACTAATGATCTCACAACATCATGCACAACAAAGGGTACGTGTCAACCCTGCATACAGGGTCTAGTTACCACATGAAGACCAAACAATTTTTTTCCCAAGTCAGCGGTTTTACAAAGTAATCCATGCGTAACATTCACGAAGCACGCTTTTAAAATGGCGGACGTTCTTGAGGTTGATGTCGATAAGGCAGAATTCTTTGATGATGAAGGCGAAGGTAGGTCAAAATTCCTGTCGTTAAATCTGAATCATGACGTTAACTTGGTCTTTTTCAAATCAGATGATGTTCAGAGGGTAAAACAGGGTGCAAAGAAGCGAAAAGGACGAGGTTTTACTGGTAAGTTATTCAAACTTTTYGATAATGCGGCTTTCAAGTTTTTACTTTGTTGTAAATGTAAGCTTATAAATGTGTTTATTAAGGTGAAAAGACGACTGGCGATGACTCTTACGAAGCTTTAGAATCTGGACAAGGTGGAGATAGTGGGCCAGCGAGATGTAAGATTAATTCTTTGATTTAAAAATTCATATTTTAAAAACTTTGACACTTTCGCTTATAGATCAATCAGCTCAAAATATAAAGCTCTCTAAAAGGTTGAATAACAAATATTTTTTGAGTACTTGAGTAGTATGAATGGCCTTTTCTTGCGTTTAATAGCTGTCGAAGGCTGGATATTGTTCGTTACAAACGTCCATGAAGAGGCACAAGAGGACGATATCCACGAGTTATTTTCAGACCACGGAGAAATAAAAAATCTCCATGTAAACTTGGATAGAAGAACAGGATTTCTAAAGGTTGGTGAAGAAAACTAGTTGAAATTACTGTAAGTAGTTTATTTTTAGGTAGTTTTTATAGCTTTTCTTGTTATATTTTGTTTGTAGGGATATGCACTTGTTGAGTTTGAAACATTCAAGGAAGCACAAAGTGCACTGGAAGCTTTGAATGGAACTCAACTACTTGAGCAAACAATATCTGTTGATTGGGCATTTGTCAAAGGTCCAGGAAAAAAGAGCAGGTAAAACTTCATATATTATCAACATTATTACTATCATAATCGATAATCAGTATTGCTCAATATTACTGTTAAAATTCACACAGAAGAAGAGATAACACACTCAATATTCTTTCGGTCGCTATGTTTACTGTGTTTTGAACTNAGATCGTAAACAAAAACTTCGAAATTGGATAAATCATTCTTTCAACTCCGTAAGAACGTACTTAAGGTGATTTTTATAAATAAAGTCATAATTGAACAAAATTTACAAAGGAAATCAAGGAAACCAGAGTTTTTGAAGTCAATTTGAAACCAGCCGCTATCTTGGATGATCAAAGTTGTCATCCAAGATGGCGTCCTCATACAAATTAACCAAATATTTTAAATCTTTATTCGCTGATATCTTCATCAGAAAGTTAGATGCCAGCCTTAAAGCTCGTATTCTAGATAATCTGACTATGCTCTTTGTGACTCGCTACTTGGTTTTTGAAAATAACGACTAATAAATTTTCACTTTGGGGGTTGCACACCAAGAATATCTTTAAAAAAGCTATACCCGTGTTTTTTGACTGTAGTCTCTTGCTAATTGTGTATTGTGACTTTTATTTTGGCTAGTAATGCAAGCAATTGCAAATATAGTAATGTGAGATTTTTGACTGTTTGCACATTCAAGAAAATGTTTGATGAAAAATGTTAAAGTCTGTGGCTCAATAGAATCCAGTAGGCACTGAAAATACATGTATCTGTTGAGTTTATCATCAATTAATTGATAACATTCTTTGCAGTTTTTTATCAATGGTGTTGCAGAATCTAATTTTGCTACACTGTCTTCTTTTTTCTCTTCTAAGAACCTTGCTTATAATCCTTTGTAATATTTAATAATCAAACATTCTTTATTGGCCATGCCTTACAGTAACGTTCATTTATATTTTCCTATTTTTGTTCTAGGGGAGGAAGAAGATGACATCATCAAGGTGTTTATATCAGAGGACACAGACACACGCGCCGTTTTATATTTCTTAAGTAATATTTAATAGTCAAACATTCTTTATTGACCATGCCTTACAGTAACGTTCATTTATATTTTCCTATTTTTGTTCTAGGGGAGGAAGAAGATGACATCATCAAGAAGTCCATTTTATTTTATACAGTAATGTTTCATTTCATCCATGTACATGTGTCAGTTAATGTAGTATGTAAATTCTAAGATGGTTTCTCTGTTTTGTTTAAGCTAWCATRTACCTATGAACGTTTTCACYCAATTTTTGGGAGTCCTGTWAATTGAATTTTGGTTCAAATTTGGACATRAACAGAGGTAGCAGTGAGTCRACTGATTAGCTGCCTTAGGCAACTTTCATACTTTTCTTTCAAAATGTAATAAGTCTAAAACAGATTRCATTTTAGTGTGATTTATACATTCTTTGTATTTCCATCATCAAAAAAGGTWAAAATACCTTATCTTTCYAGACTTACAATGTGTCAAGCCTTACCGTAGCTACTAACTTGATTTGTTTAATACGTTTATCGTTTAGCTCACTTTTTAAACTCCTGATTCACAACTTAAGCATTCRTTCTTGAATGTTTTAGCAGTGTGAATACCTCCACAAGCTGTGGATTAATAAAGTCACAGTACTATGAAAGAAAATAATTCCTAGTTGACTGGTTATTTTGTACAAAACTTAGCTTGTGTGGCAACAGTACGGTGCGTCACATGGMAAGCTTATAGGCCATTGTATAAGTCTGTYWATTGAYAGCCATAAACAAGCRTTTAGCTGATAAACATTTTTTACTAACCAACAAAMACCTATATTATGTTCTAACATTGAAACTCGGACTACTTACTAACTGTTTTTGATTAGCTGAAAATTGTGGTGTTATTATTTTATATATATAGATATGGAGATTATTACAATTATACTTATGCTTGTAATAAGGAAGTGATCGAGTATGAATAAACATATTTGGTATATTCAGATTTYCTACTTATTGGTCAATCGAGCCAACGATTGATTGAATATAACGTGCGCGATAATTGGTTATTTTAGCCAAAACTTGAATATAAGGCGCGTTCTCGTTGATAAATCAAAGGTGTTTGATTATGACGCTCCCGCCGTGATCACTGTCAATCAAGACAACTGAAAAAAAAATTATAGATCATATTTTGTATTGCGTATTTTCAAAAAAATGAATTGCTGAGTAACGCATTAAATTGTGCCCAAATGAAATAATTGAAAATGTGTCGTAGCGGCATACTCATTTCTTTTGAGAGAAGAAGAAGTAGCAGTTTCGGCTACGAAAACATACGCGACAGAGCATTAAATATAAAATAAGACAGACTCTCAATGCCCTAAGTCTCGTTATATGAAAAGGCGAAAAAACCTAACCTATCTATAGAGCTGCTTTACTTAAGCAACAATCAAAAAGCAGGTCTCGATCGGTTTTGTATTAMTGGAAGAAAAGCGATCAGGAAGATTCAAAACCCAAATAAGAGAAAACGATTTCTTTGACGAGACATGGCAACACCCAAATAATAGCAGTTAAAGTCTGAAAATGCTTCTGTGAAGTGGACGTGCCCTAATTAAAATACGAAATGTGCYTTCGAATTCCTGTTGTTTTGTTTGCCTTTTTAAGTAGGATTTGGCTTCCTCAAGGGTCCAGATTAGCCAGATAATGAGATAATCCTYGATCCTCATATATAGTTTATTAAACACGCAACTTAAAACTTCGCATCGAAATATCATCGCAGATGATGTTTAGGCGGAAATGAATATATACTGTGGAAGTATAGAGCAGTGACGGATAAAGAACGTTATAAAGGGGGCTTGGTAACTTAAAAAAASAATATTAAATGGATAGATTTTAGGCTGCGTAAAATAAAGTTTCTTTCAAATGAACGAAGCTTTGTTTTTCAGATTTAATTTTTGATTTWATTTATTTATATCATAATTTTTTCATTTCTATATTTCTATTCACTTAACCCAAATCCCCATACCCTTGTAGAGTTTCASCAAGTGAAAGAACATCAATATTTTTAATTTTATACCTAGTACGTAAGTAAAACTTTTTAAAAACGCAAGTTTAACAAAAAAATATTTACCATTCTCCCTCAAAATGTCCACTTGAGAAGTTTTATTTTTTCTCTAAACTTTTGACATTGTTGGCGCTTTTGCATGTCATTTGTAAAGTGTCGTTTTTACAATTTTAAGAGAAACGACGCATTTAAATCGAGGCCCAAGTGTAGAATGGGATACTCGTAGAAGTATCCCATGCATCCCTTCGGTCCGGTTTTGTTCCCAAGCCCATAATTTTCTGTTCATAAGCCAAGCCTTCCTATTATCATAGTTAACTATGCTATTATTAGGTCAATGAACTCGAAACAATGCCGCAGTACTGCGTTATATGTCGGCTCTTTTAAACCATTTGATCCAGAAGTTATGTACTTCTGATTTGATCTCAATATTTGTTTTTAGTTTATCTGTTTTTCTATCTTTTAGAATAAGACTGTTATCAAAAGGACAAAAACATCAAGTTTTCAAAGACGTCATTTTAATTTATCTTTAGGTTTGCTGTCCCAATAACTTCCGTATAAAAAGCCTTTGTTTATGTTTGGGCCAGCTGGAATGTCACTTATATTTCAAAATCAGTCTATAATACTAACTTATATTCAAAATCAGTCTATAATACGAACAAAATATAATTTCGGCATTACATTTCAAAGGAAATAAAATTAAAACTTCAAAATCCCACCCTGAAAAGCCCTAAAAAAACCTGCAAAAAATCAACAGTAACTCTTCACATGTGAGATCGAGTTAACGTTTTGTTCCATTACTAGTACGAGTTAAATAATCTGTGGTTTGTGTGTTGTTAGAAGAGTAATGACTGTTTGTTCTGTACATTGAGTTCTAACTCGTGCTAATACTCGATTTTTAACTCGTACTCGTACTCAATTTCGTACACGTAAAATTTTTCTGCGTTTTTCGAGCGAAAAACAAATTTTGCAAAATTGTGTCTCTGTACTCTGATATAAACACGGTCGTCAGCCAATAWTCAGCTTGTTTGGGAAAATGTTAATCTGCTGGGTTTAGGACAGTTTTCCAATAAAATCCGTTTTTCTTTCCATGCAAGTACGACTGCATTCAGACTTTCTCATAGAGGGACAGCTCTACCATCAGGCACGTTTTTCTGTTTCCCAAAGGTTTCGGTTTATGTGAGGTTACAGCTGCATGAAATTATAGAAATTTTCAACATATGTTAATAGTTGCCTTCGGCGCATGTTGCTCAATGCACGATTGAGGACATGAGTTAGGAAAGCATAACAAATTATACTATAATTGCTTCGGCTGTTGCTTCATAAGCTTAATCAGTTTCTACTTTGCCCTACTTTATTTGATCACTGACCTAGTGTAGTGGGCTGGGGGTGTGTGTGTATCAGCTGGTGCTTCAGACCTATCTAACCCCAGTACTGAAATGACTGCCATTTTTGATGATAAAATTCACTTCCAAAAAAACTAGATGGAAAACCTATAACGAAAAATATCATGAGCAGAGCTTGTAATGAATGCAAAGAATATCTTTCGACTTCCCTAGTTGATGTGAGGCCTGGAAAAAAGCGGAAAAAGTATTGTTAATAATGTGGAATGGTTGTAGTTCATACAATATGTCTTCCTGTAGTTGCACAAATAAACGAAGAAGATTAATACTACAATGATACTGTTTTCCTAGTTTGCTCGAAAAGGAAGAACATTAACACTACAATAATATGTCTTCCTAGTTTGCTTGAAAAGGAAGTTGATTAATACTACAATAATATGATTTCCTGGTAGTTTGCATAGAAAAAAGGAAGAAGATTGCCGACGAGAAATGCCGYCAAAAGAAAAATGTATSTAATTATCGATTGAGCGTTCTAGACCACTTTTTGTCCCGACTTCCGCCATTTTTGAAATTGGGAAAAAGTGTTAAAACAGCATGAAGTCCGTATCACTTTGACTAACTACCTATGACTTTGTTTACTTTTCGCATGAGATTGTGAATTAAATCTTTGTTTCTCTGAAAAGATGATATTATTCTTGTTTGGTTGTATAATTGAGAAAATAGAATACTCCAGTTTCGAATTCTCCAGTGCTCTGTGTTAGCCTCATTTGTGCGCAAAATATTCCTAATTGTGAGAATAAAAGTGTGAGATTTTAAATCAATTCTATTGTCTTTCTTCACAAAATTCCATGCGTTTTCTCGAGCTATCTATGRAACAAAAGAATATGTTACTTGGTTTTGAGGCTAACACAGAGCAAAACAGAACTCGAAATTGGAGTATTGACAAATTGAGATTTCGTGTTGTTTTGAATTACTCGTAATAAAAAGTTCGAATCTTTAATATCAGAGACATTCATTAAAACGAAAATTGTCCCAAAAAGTAATCAAAAAAATTAYTTTTTAGTTAAGAGGCATTAAAACATCAACTACGTAAAAAAATTTTATTTAAATATGATTACGGCGGATGGACAAACAAATCAACAAAGATGACACAAAAAATTTTGTTTTAGTTTTAAATTGAAAATGAGAAATATATCATTCATTTTATTTACAATTTGAGTTATGAAATAAATAGAAATGATATTTATATTAGGTTAAACCAAAAAAAGATGAAAYTTGCTTTCGACAATCAAGTAACAACGATAGACCGGCTAACGCATTGTCATGTACGTTGCCACCCAATTCAAATCTTGTGGGAAAAAGAACTTTTGTTTCTAAGAATACAGCTGTGAAATGAAAATACAACATAAAATGAAGCTTAATCCCAGTTGGTTTGAATTGGGWRGAAACGTTTATAGCAACRCGTTGSYTGATTTGGTCTATTGTCAAAAGCTCACAGAATGCAACTTTCTATTTCTTAGAATAACTTTCTTTGCATTTGTTAAGCTAAAGTAAGTTGTCTTCAATTGAAAATGCCAGAGTTTAGYCCTAATAATCCGGATAAAATAGCATCTTGTCATAGTGTGTAACATTTTCTCGATATACAAGGTTATTACGTCAAACATGATCGTATATTTTCCACGTATATATTATTCCTTCTCCCGGAATAACCTCATTCTAAACACTATAACTTTCTTTTATTTCTATATCATGTGTCTCATTGGCCTTGCAGTCCTTATWTTCATACATTTACATTCTAGCCACCGCAACCTAACATCTATTTCACCATGAGTCCAAGTCCAAGCCTGACCTTGTCGCTCAACTGGTAGAGAAAATAATTCGGTAGTACAATTCCGAGGGTCGTGGGTTCGAATCCAAGCGAGGTCGAAAATTATTTTTCTCTCGGAATAATCTCCTTCTTAGCACTATGACTTTCCTTTATTTCTATATTATATTTTCCACGTAATTTTATCGTTCCAAATTTGGAAATCTGCCGTGCGCAGGGCTATTACGTTTTATCCTACAGACTCTCAGCCAATCATAAATCTTATCGGCTTCAACACTGCGATAACGACTTTTATTGTACCCTTAAGGTAGTAAGCTTATAAGTTTAAAATGCCAATTTTAAATCCAACAACATTGGCCGGCTCTATTGGCCTGTCAAAATTCATCTTAGGTCATGAGATAAGAATTACAAAATTTAATTTTTAATGGTCGCTTAATTGAGAAGATGYCTTTAGGTATTTAGCTGTGAAAACATTGGAGTATACTCTACGTATCTGCCATTATTTTTGAATTATTTTAAAAACCGTTTGTAAAAAAAAAAACAAAAAAAAAACAATAGCTTTTATCAGGGCGCCAGTCATAATGTAGCATTTCGTATCGTGTATTTGAGAACTGAGCGTTTCACGCTGTTACACACGTAGTTTCAGCCTGAAAAATAAGTCAACACATTTAGTATATATAGAAAAAAAAGGCTAAAAAATTATGGTAGATATATAACGCTGTTTATGTTATGGTCGACTTCAAAATAATGTCTTTGGCTAGATCGTTATCTTGATAAGTAAACACTGAAATTACCATATGAATAAATAAAAAAGATACATGAATTTGTAAATGAAATTGAAAAATCTCTGACTGACTGGATGTATGGATGAAAAGACGAAATAAGTAAATCCCTGATAAAAATTATTATATTTTAATGATAAAATCCCAACTCAGTGCTGGGCTTCGGTATAATATTTTGCAATCATCAACTTTACCATGGCGCTCTAGGCCATCTGTTTTTTCATCTAAAATCTAATTCTAGATAAAATGCAAGGAAACTAAACAAGCACAAAACAGCAAAAAAATAAAAATAAAAAAATAAAAGCAAAGCAAAACAAAAAAACTCCGATTATTTGTAGAAAAACAAGTGACACAACACATACGCCAGGAGTCTATTTTGACACGCTCATTCCAAATCATTATGCCTTCCGACAGAGAACAATGGAACTCAAAGTGCTTCCTACTTTTGGGTCGAACGAAAGCTTCATAATCATGGACTAATTTAACACGAAATACTACATGAATAATGCAGCACATTTCACAAAGGTGTATCCCACAATTCATATGCATGGATGTAGATACATTTTCCGGAAGAGATGTCCTTAAAAATGAGTTTAAATTTCCCTACCTTTTACAGTGTTTTTGGGATGAGCTCTGGTATTCACTAAATTCAGTCAATTCACTGCCADACAACTTACTCATTCTATATAGGGAAAAATTTCATGCAACTTCGAAACCAAGGTAAGGATGTTTGATTTTGGATCTAGACTTTTAAAGGCTTAAGAACCTAAGGCGACAATTTAATGTGTTCAAAGGGGGCGTAAGTAAGAAGCAATTGACAGACGATATTTATCACTCAGTGTCAAGACAAACAACATTTATTTGGCAATAAACTTGCTTGACGGAAAAGTGTCAAAGCGTTTAGACGAGGAGCCCCGTRCCAGTACCGTAAATTCATTCTCAGAGAAAACAACACGAGCGGCAATTATGGCCGAASAYGCTGCTAGAAACACTACTGTGCTATCAAATTTGTCTTCCTCGCAGCCTTTTGAATACATCAGAGAGTCTTTCTCCGTCAAGGTATTTMGGCTWGTGTTGGAGGTAGCCATTGTATTACTTGGAATTATTGGCAATGTATTGGTATGTCTAGTWGTGACAAGAATCAAAAAGCTTCATTCTGTCGTGAACTTTCACATTCGAAACCTAGCCATCGCGGATCTCGGGGTTTTGCTGATCAACTTCCCCCTCGCAGTAATCAAGGAACAAAATCCAACCCACTGGCCCCTTGGAGAGTTTTTCTGCAGGTACATTTACCCGGTCGGGGATGTTTTCCATGGGGTGTCTGTATGGTCGATCACGGCTATTGCGATTGATAGATACCGGGCTATAGTTCGAGAGATAAGACGAGACAAGCAAACCGCACTTAAAATGGCAAGAATTACAGTATTGAGTCTGTGGATTATTGCCTTTTTTATTGTATCTTTTCCTTTATTTTTTGTAATTGAATTTATTGACTATCGGCCGGTGCACGATTTTGTGGACTGCACGCCGATATGGCCCGATCGAGAARACAAGGACGTTGTTCGTCAAGTCTACATGGTTGGAATCGCGCTATTTTGGTATATTATACCACTGTCGGTGATAAATTGGACTTATATTAAAATCGGCCAGAGATTGAAGCAGAGCTCACGATTTCATAAATCCTTAACAGGCGTCCGCAGCGCGAACAAGCGCAGAAAATACAAAGAAAAAGCCAACGCAAAGGCCAAGAAGCTTTTGACTCCGGTCGTGATTGTTTTCACAGTGACAATGTTTCCCCTTAATGCTCTGCGATTGGCAATTATTTATTGGAAAGAACTTCCATTTGACAAATATCTTTGGGTTTACTATAACGTCACGGTCATTTGCATTATCCTCAATTCTTCTGTGAACTGTCTGATTTACGCTTTAGTAAGCAAAGACTTTAGAAAGAATTTTTATAAACAGTGCTGCAAAAGAATTCCCAAAGCRTCCTACTATCCRCACCACACTGGCAACAGCAGCTCTCCAATGACAAGGAACCACAGTAAAGGCGAAATCATGAAAGATTCCGTAAAAACTACGGTTTGTTAAGAACTYATTGGAAACATTACCAAAGCCTTTGTTATCGTATTGCAAAAGTATGACGCCCCCGGGGAAACAATAACGGACCAAACTGAGCATTAAACAACATCTTACAAAATGTGTTTTTCTTTCATTGAGAGGAACTTGTCGAGCCAATTAAGTGCAGCTGAATCTCAAAAAAATGTTTCGCTTGGCAATTAGCTCATTTAATATAGTTTTAGCATTCATAAAATGACACCAGGTGATAATTTTCTATAAATATAAACAGTAATGTCTGCTTTYTGTAAAATTTCATTGTTTTTCTCACTGTGTCTGCTCGATATTAACATGTGACTGCTAAACCTGCTAGTCTTTTAAGCTCTTAGATAAACAGCGAATTTTWTATATTGTATCTTAGTTCAAGAAGAAAAAATATTAAGATGTTTGTACGGAAATAAATAAACCTGGTTCAATACACAGTTTTTTATCTTAAATTTTCCCCTCCAGGCAAAGAAAATCGAYTTTTTTTCTCAGCATGGACAATTTGGGGTGAACGCGCGCYTTTATTATGCCKCGCGCGCTTTTGGCGCGAAACTGGCTTATTTTCTGTCGATTAACCCATCAGCCAATAAGATACCTGAATTCTATTTCAATTGTCACTKGGTTTCAATTAAATCTTCTTGAAAATTTTGTGGCAATGATATGAAGATGATTAAAAAACTGATTGACTGGATTCATTACGGAGCTCAGTTTTAAGCATAGTAAAATTAAAGAAATTATCACTTTAATAAGCACAATCGTGCTTCTGCTAGTTTTTAAAGTACACTATTAAATAAAATAAGAGAACATTAAGATTCTGGTTATTGGATTTTTTGTTTTCTTTTTTGAATATCATATTAAAAACTGACCATTTAAGAGTCATCCTGGTACGTTTTTGTTGGACATATTGAAATTAAATTGTATTCGAAAATTAAAAGGACGTGGCAAATTTTACATTTTAGTCTAAATTTATCAATAAATAAGTGTTTATGATTCTTTCTGGGAGAAAATAACGATTCTTTCTGGGAGAAAATAAGCGACTGCTATTCCTTTTGTATATTCAAAAATAAATCTAATTCCGAGATACAGAAAGATAATAGAAAGTAGAAAAGCACAAAATATAGCAACTTTTATAAAATTCTTATTTTTTCAATCTTCAAACATAAGGCAGTTATTGTTTCCTACTTTTTGCACGCGAGGTTTCTTCACCTGACCGAATCATACATTTCTAGACTCCGAAAGCGTGCCACACTTATTTTTCAAAAAAAAAACACTTAACCAAATGTCATCTCCGAAGACCTTTTATCTCGATAATTACAAAATGTAGTTGTTCCATAGAACATTCGAGTGCTTTAACCAGCCTTCATGTTGCCTTTCGGATTAGAATTAACTAGACTAATCACAAACAACTTATTCTTGCGAGCAAATATACCGCCTCTAAAACAAAGCTAAMGTAGCGTGCAAAAAGTGGAAGAGCAATGAAAATATCGACATGATCACGTATTCATAGGTAAAAAATATTCTTATAGTTAGTTTGGCTAATGATATTTCGACGGAAATAGATTTGAAGTAGGCTATACTGGCTCCATACTAGCGTTCTATATTGGTAGCTATGATACGTTCTAGATTGCCTGTGTTATTCATTGTGTCGCCTTGTTCAATTATGTACAGCAATTTTCACAAAGGTTGTCGGATAAGAAACCAGAAAAATACAAGTAAAAGACGATTCGCACTAGCGATTTTTGAGCGATTCAAAAAYGTAATAATGTTTGCCTTCTTATGATTGTAAAGATTCGTTTAGATAACTCAACTCAATGTGCTTTATAAAGGCCCGTTTTGCAGCGCGATTGTCGCGCGACAATCGCCACTTTGTTCTCTCGCACCTCAAATCKTACGTGYAAACAGCCCYGSGATTGTCGCGGCGATCAAAAATCGCCGCGAGTTGCAGCTAAATTTCAAGCATGTTCRAAASTAAGGCGATTGYCGCGYGACAWTCRCGCTGCAAAAATTGCAAGCAAAAATTGCAAGTGTAAACGGGCCTTAAAACTTTATATGTTGATTCTTTGACATTATTCTCCAGGATCGAAATGATAAGAATCGCAGCAAAAATCGTGAGCAGAAATAGCCAGGGTGAACCGGCCTTTTAGAGAGAGAAAGTGTCCACTGAAAATTGCGTGTCTTCTTCGCATCTCTTGCTTCATATATGCTTTTTATCCTTATTCCTTTTTTATCCTATAGATTCTATGTGTCTCCGGGYACGAGTTCAAAAGCGCGACAGCGTTTGTTCAACTAAGTGTATMGCTATTTGAGTTCCGAAAAGGATTTTCGAAGATTTCTCGTTCGACATTTACTGTGGATTTAACATGTGAYGATCATATTCATCCAAAACTAGGAACTTTAAAGATGATATGATGTTTTTTGTACCTGTTTTTCGATAGATTACTGGCTATTATCTATCAAAAATTGAATAGCTCACGAACTTCAGGCGAATGCCTTCTCCGATCTCTGCGGTCATCTTAGCACTAAATTGCGCGCTTCAATTTATTCATGATTATCAAGCTTCCACTCCAATTAATAAATACCATTTTATTGATTTTATTCCCCAGTTCATAAGCTTTAATAAGCTAACCTTCCGTGTATTTATCGAGCGTAAACCATTGCGTATGAAATTGAAATATTTTCAGGAGCACGTGATGGTACAGCCGTTAATTAAACTTATCAATACATTAAWAATAATAAAATAATAATTACAAACTCGCTATTTGAAAGAAGACAAATAGATTTCCAAAGTGGCTTGATTTTCAGTCTTGCGAGGTCATAGCCACGAAGACCAATTACATTTACTTGCAAAACCTCACCATTATAACAACACAAAATTAGGGATGTTGTGGGAAAAGAATTCATTAAAAGGAATTATAAAAGAAAAACACTCAAAYTCGAGTCCTTTTCCAACTGTATCACGTCTGATAGTCTTTCTCAAAATGACTTGAGTACTTATTGACTATTCTTATAATTTCAATTCAGGCGGAATAACCTCGTTCCTGGGATAGAAAACAATCGAAGAAACAATCCATTTTCACATAGGTTCGTGCAAGAGAAAATGAGCTAACTTAGCTCATTTTCTCTTGGTTCGAGGCTATACTGAAACTTTAAGAATTAGTCCTTTCTAAATATGGACATACAAACCTGACCTTGGCAAAGGGAATATAACGTGTTTCAAAAATAGGTGATCATTATAAAAAATATTTAAGTGATCATTTTTAAATTCATTATTTAGTCATAAGCTAAACATGGTCGAATATCATCTGAAAATAAGAGAAAAATTTATATTAAATTGTGATAACATTTATATATCGTATCTAGACTTAGTATAAACATTATCTCTTCCATTGTAATTACTTGTACAACTGAAAATGGCATAAGGATGCCGAAACATCTTTTTATTATTAAAATATTGATTGTGGCTTTGAACAACAGAACGCTTTTCTTTTTGGGGTGAGTTCACACTTTGATTGTCAAGACTTGTTTCACGGGTTTAGGACGCCACTCTATAAGTGTGTCCACTCTATTTGCCAGATCAATATCACTTTAGAATAGATACTTTTGAACAATAATCCAGTTTCGAATTCTCCGGCCAATGCTCTGTTTTCTCGGGCTATCAATAAAACGAATATGTTGCTTGGTTTTGAGGYGAACACAGAGCAAACCAGAACTCGAAATTGTAGTATTCTAATGTTGTTTCGTACGGAMGTTGCCTAATCAGGGGGGTGCTTACCATGTGCTCCCATTACGATTTGAAGCCTGTGGACCTCGTGGTGTTGTTCGTAGAGGCGACACGAAGTTTCCACCTGTGCTACTAAAAAATACAAGAAAAATTACTGTTAGCCCGTGGAAAAATGCAAGATACAAAAACATCCATCCTTAATTCCACACAACTCTCACCGATTTGTATCCGATTATAGGCCTTTTSCATGAAAAGGTCGCTTGGTACAAAAACCGCCATACTGGATGGCAAAATACCCACTGGGATTTTCCAAACAAAGAAAAGTCAAGTTTGACGGGCTGCGTTCATTTTTTTTTTTTTTTTTTTTTTTTTTTTTTTTTTTTTTTTTTTGAGGTTGTATACATTCTCCAGTATAGCGGATTTTTACCATGTGACCGTTTCATGCAAAAGGCCTATTAAGTGCAACAAAAGCGTATATAAAAGATTACCATCAAAAACAAACAAATCAACCACCACCTCCACCAACACAAAAGATAAAGAAAAACGAGGTCGGGTCAYACCTTTTTTTTGTTGGTGTACGATTCGTAGATGACGCTCGTGGTGTCGTTGTTAGTGTCGACTGTTCTGCTTGAGGACCATACGCTGTTCCAATTGCAACACCAAAAGCAAGCAAAGATACGGCAAAAGCTGTTGCATCACTTTGCATTGAGCTTGGTCGTATCAAGGACGTCAGGTCGGAGAGTGTTGATCCCAGTGTAGGTGGAGCAGTCAGTGATCCTTGAATAGCACATACGAAAAAATTGGATACTTTGGATACATATTCTTKGCGTGCAAGTTACGTTATCACCGCCATGTTGAATGAAAATCACAAAGCATTCCTCATTAGTTTCTCTTGTTCATTCATCCAACATGGCGGCTATAGCTTTGCTCTTTATTTCTAAAGGTATTCTTTGTCACGTGGTTGCCCACCAAGAATAGCGCGCTCTAATATACCAGAACATTTTGTTATTCGAGCAGAGCGCTCTAGTCAGTTTCAGTTATTTCATACCATGTGGTTTAGTGACGTCACCAAAGAGGGGTGGCTGCGTGGCCATTCCTTGAATTCCTTGAGAACCAAATGAACTCTGGGATCTGCATTATAAATGGAAATTATTTCAAGACTGACATTGTAGRGTATGTAAAACTTCAATTGAGCACTTTTGCCTCCCGTCWWTCAAAACATCATCGAGCTACTTTCTAGAATCCCTAAAAATGCTCGCTTCTTGTACAAAWAAATAACAATAGATTTGATATATTCTTACTTATTTCGACGAGAAACAGCAGTATATTTGCAACTTACGTTTTTATTCCGACCTTAGATTGCCCTGAAAAAAAAAAAAAACGCAGTGGTATCTTATTCATTTGTCCGGATATTTTTGTCTAAAATGACATCACAACATTCATAGCGAACAAACATTATCTAAGACCCAGCTTGTGCATGCTCTATCGACTTATCAAAGTACCTATCGGGTACATGCTGACGGCTGGTATGCGATACGGATACGCTACATGTGGACGGAGATATTCTTATATCCGCATAAAGAGAATTGCGCGGGAAAAAATCTCTGGAATTCGTGTGGACGGAGCCTCACTCTCGTCATTTCATCGCGCATGCTCTATTACCTCATGGAGCAGAATCACGAACCGCGAATTTGTCGCGTTTTTTAATTTGTTGACTTTCCTCATTAGATAATGCTTCCAGCCAAACTTGCGCAATTTATTATAAAGTATAATGAAATACCTTTTAGGGCTTTTCCTTCATTTTGGCTCATATTTTGAAGTGCTTGTTTTCTTCTTTCGGCTTCCGCTTCCTATATTTAACGGGATATTTTACAATGTGAATAGCAGAAGTAAAAATGTTTACATCAAATAAAAACAATATTTTAGATTCTCTTCACGTATTTCGTTTCACTATAAATGTCTCCCACTGGCATCCCATCCCAACTATAACGTCCGATAGAGAAATTATTGAGATTCATTAATTTTCGACCATATTCGGGTAAAATACAGGATTCGGATTCGTATACTAGTATGCATACTAGTACGAGTTAGCTAATTGTCCTGCAAGGGGGACTTTTGTAAATCCAATGGCAGGAAGGAGACATTAGCAGTTCAGGGGTGGCAGACAAATGAACCGACAAAATGCGAAAAGGAACTTCTTGTCAGCAATGAATGATTTTAGCCCGAAGCAAAGTACATGGCATTGACATTTTTTTTGCACAATGATATATAAAACTGGCAAACGGTAGACCAACATTTAAGACACGCCTGATCTTGACTTTAGAATCTTTCATCAAAATAACTGCTCAGATTTTAAATGGAATAACCATAGATTATGGAATGAAATAAAAGATTACTTAATACTAAACAAATTTGATAATTCTCTCATAATACCATATTCACTGTTAATTACAATGGTTTTGAGCCGATGGCAAAATGGTGGTGGTGTGGGAGTTTTGTGTCGCGTGCCCTTTGCGTAACTGATAACATCCGATCCCTTAACTTGTCGCACTTTTTATTTGACAAAATAAAGAAAAAACCAACACATAACACTAAATCCGGAATTAATCTTATTTGCTTTTCTGTCTGAATATCGTACGTCGATTATACGATGTAGAGAAAACAAAATACGAAACAAACAATCAAGAATCTCATTGAGGACAATCTTATATCGTGAATACCGAGGCTTTATTTTTTTCTTTTTACAAAGGATTGCTGTTGTGAGGTACTTCAATTCTTTACTGAATCTCATTTAAAAGTAAAATATAATATATTTTAAGGGCCATGTTTCAAAAGCATTCAAAGCGGTCGTCTTTTCAGTTTTTTCATATATGGAAAAATGAGGTGACTTCAAATATCCATTCACAATCCGTCGAATATCTTCATTCACATAGAATAAAGTATAATAATAATTTAGAGAAAGCTTTTGCTTATATTATACGTTGTATTTTTTATATTTTCAAACATAAAAAAAAGTTCGAACGGATGTTAATGGACCATGGACCTTTAAAGTGTCCTCAKTGGGAAGACTTACTCTTGCTTTTCTCTCTAGTTCCTGTCTTCGTTTCCTTTCTCTCTCTTGTCGTTTTATTTCTTGTTGTTTCTGCCATCTTTCTTGTTCCTCTCTGCGCCTTTCATCTTCTTCTTTCCTCTTCTKTTCTTCCTCTCTTTGCTTTTGCTCTTCCTYTTTCCGTCTTTCCTGTTCAATCTTCATGAGTTTCAGATTTTGGTAACGTTTCACCGCCACTCGAGAACGAATCACAGCTTGCAGTCGACAAAAGCCTCGCTTCATCTGAGATTTCAARTGATGATATAAGCGTRTTGAAAGAAACATAAGAAAMAAATTACAAAGAACACGAACAAAGAACAGCAGCCCAAGAACAAGAAGAACATRAAGGACAARAGGGACAAAATGAACAAGATGAAMAAGAAACAGAACAACAAGGATTACAACAAACGAMAGAGGAAAAAGAACAGCAGGACTTCACCTTGTTATATGCCATCCTTTCTCTGTATCCTCTCCATGTTTTCTGAATTGCCGTAGCACTATTTCGTATTCTTCGTGCTCKCTTACGTTGAATGTATCTTTTGATAGCTCGCTGAAGAAACACCACTTTTGAAGTCAATAGTCTGATACGAGCCTTTTCCAGAATATTGTCTTGTGATTCCTGGAATTAGGTGATCATTCATTGAATATTTGAAAACGTTGTTCTTTATCATATAATTTGGAATCCCTAGGAACTTTAGGAATCCATAGGAGTTATTGGGAATCGCATGGGAATTATTGGGAATTTATAGGAATTCTTGGGAATCGCGCATGGGAATTATTGGGAGTTTATAGGAATTCTTGGGAACCGCATGGGAATTATTGGGAATTTATAGGAATTATTGGGAATTATTGGGAATTTATAGGAATTCTTGGGAATCGCGCATGGGAATTATTGGGAGTTTATAGGAATTCTTGGGAACCGCATGGGAATTATTGGGAATTTATAGGAATTATTGGGAATTATTGGGAATTTATAGGAATTCTTGGGAATCGCGCATGGGAATTATTGGGAGTTTATAGGAATTCTTGGGAACCGCATGGGAATTATTGGGAATTTATAGGAATTATTGGGAATTATTGGGAATTTATAGGAATTCTTGGGAATCGCATGGGAATTCTTGGGAATTTATAGGAATTATTGGGAATCCATAGGAGTTATTGGGAATTTATAAAAGATTATTGGGAATTCATAGGAACTCTTGGGAATCCATAGGAATTCTTGTGAATTTATAAGAATTTTTGGGAATCCATAGAAATTCTTGGGAATCGCATAGGAATTCCCTGGGAATTTATAGGACCTTATAGGAATTGATTGGGAATTTATAGGAATTCTTGGGAATAGGATTTTTTAGGAATCATCTTGGGAATTCTTACGAATTTTTAGGACTTCTTGGGAATCTTTGGGAATCCCTATCTATCCTTGGAAAAAATCCTTGAGAACTTTAGGATTTCTATGACGTTTTTAGGAATCATTGGGGTTTGTTAGGAATTCTTGGGAATATGGCACAACACTTCAATATATTTAGCATTTGTAAAGCGATATAAAATGCACCAATACTTGCCTTCATAAAGATTCTCTTTGTGCCCATGACCCAACCAGATGAACCAAGCAATGTTTTAGCAATCACCTCTGTGAGCTCTCGCGGACTGTGYGACTTTATGTGACCGTCATGCAACAACATATGATAACGTGTGACAAATTCTTCAAACGTGTGACGCATAGAATAACCAGCCTTGCGAACCCTGAAGCATGTAAAAAAAAGAGATTTGATCATAAAAAGGTAAACTCTGAGGAAAATTCGGCGTGGGTTCCTTGGAGATGGGATAGTCCTAAAGACAAAATAGACATGCAAGTCTTGAKATGCAAAAGAGCTATAAATGTTGACAATTTTTATGGGCGCACGGCCGTATTACAAACTATTCGTTGATAACKGCACCTTCCTCGGGCCACCCTTCCCCCCAAGACAACAGATGAACACGTAATGTTTTCATAAAGAAATACAACATATATGTTTGACAAGTTTATTTGGGAAAAAAGAGAAAAAACACCTATAACGTGTAAATAGCAAAGTTTAATCAAGACAGTCTAAAATGCTGTAAGTATAGTATGGTATAATAGACATATTGGGTAACAATAAACACCTTATACTTTAGTTCATAAAGGGAATATATTAAAAAGATGCTAAATTAAAAGCGTTCAAGCCTTAGTGATTTTCTTTCTTTTTTTAATTCTTCCTATTGCACTAAAATATATATATATGGCAATTTAAATATATAGGTCAAACGAAAGCTAGAATCTAAATTATTATAAAATGTTTATACGTAGTTTGTTTAATCAACCATGAAACAAACAACAAATAAAAAAAACAAACTACGTATAAATATGAAAAAAACTACCAACAAAGATCTTTAAAAATATTATGAAATGGTTTATAGATTATATTATAYCATTATACAATAATTTCATGTCATGATTTAATGTTCAACATCAGTTTTTGCTTTCTGGTTGAGCTTGATAAGTGTAGCCGTATTTTTCCAAGTACTTGTCCATCCACGCTGAACGCTGTTTCTTTCGGAACAAACCCATCACGCCTAGCTGGTTTGACTTCATAGTCCATTGACTGGCATCAGCCCATCTTCCTGGCTCATTTGATTCAACAAAATCATGGCAAGCCTTTACAAGTTCTTTTGCATTATTCACCTCAATTTCTTTCACAGATGGGTCAACATCTGATGGCCAATGAAATCCTGTTGGTACACCAACCTTCCAGTCCCACATTAACCATTGGGATGAATCACTCTTTTTGGCATTAGCTTGATTGGGAACCATAGCGTACTCAATCTTGTGCCTATTTCTCTTGAGTTGAGGTTTAGAAAGTCCATCATGATCTTCGATGTAGAGAGTGCTTCCCAGGGGAGGGATTTTGTGATGAACGAGGTTGATTCTTCCAATCTTTGAGGTGTCGCTACTGGCAAAATGGATGTGAGCACAAACTGCACACTTAGAGGGGTTAAACGGATCTTCCAGGAGAAACAATCCCATTGGAGTGCCAGCATAGGGTCCAGTTCTGACTAAGGTCTTCAGCTTGTAGTCAAGTATTTTAAATATCCTTGCGTTCATAAAGTTAATCACCGCGCTCTGGCTAAGAACTCTTTTATGAAGAAGTTTATCTTCTCCTCTCTTGAACTTTTCAATTGCACAAAATTTAAAGAATCCTGGATCTTTGAAAAGATTGAGCTTGAGGTTTTGGTACTCCAATACCATGAAGGGCTCTCCTTTTTCTACTTCACTGACGATTATTGTTGTTACAAGTTTTGGAGAAGGTAGTTGAATCTCWCGGAACTGTTCTCTTGTCTCGTCATCCATTTCCATCCAGCAATTTCTTAATCTATGCAACATTTCCTGATTTTCAGCTTGGTTGAAGAACTCAAAGCATGGAGTAAAGTACCCTCCAAACGTCACTTCATCAGGTTCACAGGCCGCCTGAACTGTAACTGTGCAACCATTTTCATTCCAGGGGCCACTTTTCTTATTCAACTCTTGTAAATCCTCAGCAAGGATTCCAGAATAACAGCTGTCTAAGATGATGAGCAAATGCTTGTTCTTTTTTACCTGGCCTGGTGCATTTTGGGATTCAGCTTTAACAGCAGCTATCCATGGCTTTAGTAAACCTTCAAGCCCACAGAAACCAACATGGTGCAAACAGAGTTCCCCTCCTTTCACAACTGGGTTTTCTGTTAAAAACGGCCTCGCAACATCGTTGTATTCCTCACRAAAATTAACATTGCAAAGTTCTGGCATGGAAACAGCATCTGGAAGTTTGTCTTTTGGAAGGCCATGACCAGAATAGTACCACACAACAAGCTCGTCGAGGTGTGGGTCAGCGGTATGCTTCATGGCTGCAAATGCATTGCTATAAGCAAGTTGAATGATAGAATCATATTCCTCTTTCTCAAAGTTTTCTTGGGATGCAAACACAAATGCGTCACGTATGTCACCATACACAGAGCTCATCATGTCGTCAACTTCACGTTCTGTTTCTTGAAAACAAAAGGCGGAGTAAAATTTTACGTTCAGCACTCCAGCGTCTGTAAACCATTTTAGAAACTTTCGGTAATCTTTGATTGTATCAGTTTCATCAGATCCATCAGATTCACCAAATTTAGCCAAGAGTTCTGGTGATGGCAATAGAGCACATCGAGGATGCTCCTCYATCGATCGAAGCCATGCATTTTCCTGCTTCTCTCGTTGTTTTAGCCTCTCTCTTGCCGCATTTTCTAGTGTTTCGCTTGGAAAGGGGATTTCTCTAGACGTATACATTATAGCGAATAAAAATACAGAAGGAGTTGATCCCGTCCTTTGTGTATACTAGCTTGTTTGATTTCAWTGAAGGAGTTCCGTGCGCCCGGTGATATAAATGAAAAGAGCCTGAAGAGTGTACGTATCAAATGCTTACTTAAATGCA